TTGAGACATAAATGTAACTGTAAATGTTGAGTCTATAAAAAATTAATGAATCAATTAGAGATAAAATTCTGTTGCATTAACATAAGTTCTTTTTTTTTTTTAAAGATTTTATTTATTTATTTGAGAGAGAGACACAGCGAGAGAGGGAACACAAGCAGGGGGAGTGGGAGAGGGAGAAGCAGGCTTCCCGCTGAGCAGGGAGCCCGATGCGGGGCTCGATCCCAGGACCCTGGGATCATGACCTGAGCCGAAGGCAGATGCTTAACGACTGAGCCACCCAGGCGCCCCGCATTAACATAAGTTCTTAATGATGGACCCAGTTAATCACATTTTATTCTCTGAATTCCTATTTGGAGACTACCATTGTGTCTAGCATTGTGCCATAACAATTTATGTCAGTTAGACCATGATTTAAGCCAGTTTGTCCGTAAAGGGCCAGCCAATAAATATTTCAGGCTTGTTGGCCATATGATGTCTGTTGCAACTACCCAACTCTGCTGTTGTAATGTATGTTGTAGATACAGCCATAGACAATACATAAACAGGTAGTGTAGCTGGGTTTCAGTGAACTCTATTTACAAAAACCAGCAATGGGCCAGATTTGGCCCATGGGCCATGGTTTGCTAACTCCTGACTTAGACTCAAGTTTTTTCAAACTCCTTTATATCATTAGCTCTTTTGAGGCCTGAGAGTGTATACAATATGTGTCATCTCCATTTTACAGGTAAGGAAACCAGCTCAGAGAGGGTAAGGGATCTGCCCATGGTCACACAGTAGGAGGGGACAAACCCAGCCACCTCCTGGGTTTCCTAATTCCAAATCTAGTGCTCCACGACCACTGCACACTGTCTATGACACCAAAGAAGTACAGTCCCTGCCCAAGATAAATCAGGCAGTGCCGACAGTTAGTCTTGTTCTTTTGTTCCAGCTGTCGAGAGCCTGGAATTGATCATGTTTCCAATCCAATGCTCTTTATCATGCAGACAGACCATTGTGCAAGAAGTCTAGGTTTCTCTTCTAATTTTACCTCTGACAGCTTGGTGGGTTATGGCAGGATGCCAGAGTTCTCTGGAAATCAATCATTCCCTGGGAGGATTCTACAGGTCCGTAGCACCTGTGGATGAGAATATGGTTCTTATTTCTTTTGTTTCCTTTCTGGCGCCCCAACTCTACCCTTATGTGTGTATGTTTAGCATGGGTACAGTGTCTGGAGCATAGTAGGTGCTCAGGACACATGTGAATTAGCCGAATATCAGGGCAGGGACTCCAGGCATGGAACACTCACGTGTCCCACCTGGTAATGTCCCTCAGTGGTCACCAGCCAGTTAGCACCAAAAGGCTTCATGTGGATTCGGAGCACCAGGGACACCCCTCACCATCACAGAGCTCCACCTTGCACCTAACGTCTATAGAGAAGGCGAGTAGAGCCAAGTAGAAAAGTGAAATGGAGGCTCTGACTACTTATTTGCCGAGTACAAATGAATCCTGACATGAAGAACGTGACAGAGGAGTCTAACAATCTCTGGGGAGCCAAGGAAAGGACGCTCAGGCAGAGGCAGTGTGCCTTTAGGTTGCATACTCAAATATCATGTGCCTCAGTCAGCTTTTCCCTATTCATTTGCATAGTCGTATGTTATGGGCCTGCTCTGACACTGCTTACTTACAATAGTTAATAGGAGTTTCCAAATACAACCAAGATACACCTGGCCCTTTGCAGAGCGCTGTGGCAATCTGAGAAAGAGCCAATTTCAGCCACAGGTTATAACATACAGAAGACATGTAAGACCTGCGAACTGCCCACATCTGGGTCTAGACTCTCCTTAAGGTGCCTTAGGAGTACTTATTTAAAGACAAGATATTTATGCGTTTGGCCTCATTCTGAAATTTGGAGGGTGAAAGCATCTTGTGATGGGCATTTTGTCCTCTCAGCCCGACAAGGCACCAAGGCTTGTCATGAGATGCAATGTTTTCAGGCACGGAGAGGAATCTGAATGGCCTTGTGTTTGTTTACAGATGTAAATGTGGTTGGAAGAAGGAGTCAGGGTGGAGGAAGCTTTGCCTGATAGCCCATATCAGGAAGAAACTCAGGGGAAAACACAAGGCCCCAATAATAGCGTTTGGATCCCTGTAACCCAGGTTAGGAGTCGTCCCCCAGGAAGTATGAATGCACTTGTGACAAATGAGAACGGCCGGGAATCAGATTGTCCTCACCTCAGAGAGAGGTTAAGGGTGTGAGACAAACAGCATTCCATCGGTGTTAATCCTGTGGGGGGAAAAACCGGTATTAGGCAGAGGAGGTTTCCGTGTGTGTGAATCACTCAGAGCAGAGCCCACAATGGGATCCAAGAACAAGATCGTTTCATGAACTGATCACTAGCGGTGCATGAGAGGCTGAACTAAAGGTAAGTGTTTAGAAACTTACTTTATAGTAATTGATCAAATAATTTTACTTATGTTGAATCTGAAAAAAAATTTTTAAAGGAGGGCTTGTATTTTCTATATCTTATTTAAATTTCATTTTTCTATTAATTTATTTTCATTGATTTCTGTGACAAGCTGAAAATAAAAAAATACAGCTGCTTCACTGGTGATAATTTGAGAAGCACCAGTTAGAAGGTGGTAGGGTGTCCTAGGTGGTAGACAGTGGGTCAGTAGACCTTCAGAATGAGGGGAACTCAGTGAAGACCAGACACACAAGGAAGGTTTCCTGGTGGAGAGGATAAAGTTGGACTTTGGAGGATAGGCAGGATCTTGACGGATGAAGAGGCCCCTCAGATCGCTCCTACAGCTGGGAGGGAGTACTCATGCTTGGCATAGGCTTGTTTGCAGGCTGCTTCAGTGCATATACATTCTGTCCCAGGCACTGTACTGGCACAAATGGGAGCTGTTGCCATGGAGGGCTGAGCATGGTTATGGGAGCCAGGGCCCTGGGTTCTGGATAGGGCTCTGATGAATTTTCCCTGGGCAGCCCTGGGAAGATCACTTGACCCCTACTAGGCTGGAAAAGCCATGAGGGCAGGGACTATCTCTGATGAATGGTGCTTAGCTCAAGCCTGGCAGATAAAAATTCCCAATAAAATTTTTGGTGAGCCAATGGATGAATGGGTTTCAGTTTTAACACTTGAAAAATGAGAGGGGCTAGGTAAGATTGGTGGTTTTCTTTCTTTTTTTTTTTTTTAAAGATTTTATTTATTTATTTGACAGAGAGAGAGTGAGCGAGAGCAGGAACACAAGCAGGGGGAGTGGGAGAGGGAGAAGCAGGCTTCCCGCCGAGCAGGGAGCCCGATGCAGGGCTCGATCCCAGGACCCTGGGATCATGACCTGAGCCGAAGGCAGATGCTTAACGACTGAGCCACCCAGGCACCCCAAGATTGGTGGTTTTCAAACCATAGAATGAGAAACCTTACAAAGCTGCACTGTGGTCCAACCTGTAAAATCAAGCCTCTACCCTTGAGTTTCTATAGGATTTCATTTGAAGAAGGAACTCCACTGCTAAAATAATTTTGGGGAAATACTGGATTTGATGATTTCTAAGGCATATGCTAACTCTGACATTTTCAGATTCTAAGTAGATAGGAATGCAAATCATAGAGGCCATAAAATCATTGACTTAATGAATCACTACTGTGCAAAAATAGACATAGGAGATATAAGGATGTGCTAGAATATTGGGGTTGGTGGGGTCCAATTGGCTGGCAGAGCTCTTAATGTGAAGCTTGTTGAAAAGCTTCAGAAGAAGGATCCATTTATATCCCAAAAGAGTATGTAAAATTTTCCGTGCCATTGAGTATCACTTGCGAGTGCTATGGTTGCATGTAACAGAGACACATAACACTGGCTAACACAGAGAACACTGCCGAGTCTGGCCACTACCATGGCTTAAGTAAGCAAATGGTTTGTCCTTCCCATGTAATAAGTCTAGAGGCAAGCCACCGAGGCTGGACCATTTGTTCAAGGAAGTCATCAAGATCCAGACTCCTTCTAGCATGTGGCTTTTTTCTAGTGGTCCCTCTCTAGGGGTGACATCTACTTTCCAGGAATGGGAAGTGGGGAAGTCAAAAGTAGTGCCACCTGGGAAAATTGGGAAAGTCGCAGCTTTTCCGAAAGCCCCACCTTGTAGACTGCCACCTTCATCTCATTGGCCAAACTGTCCTGCAAGAAGCTCTGGGAAATCAAGTTTTATTGAGTGATCAAAGCTGCGATCCTATTAATAAGGTGAAGGAGGGAATGGGTAGATACAGACAACTGTCAGTATTTACCATAATATGTATGTGATTTTTTTTTTTTTTTACATTGCCCAAAATGTCTTTAAGGAAGGAGTTAATTTGAAGAATATGTAGAAGGAGGGACGCCTGGGTGGCTCAGTCGGTTAAGTGGCTGCCTTCGGCCCAGGTCATGATCCCAGGGTCCTGGGATGGAGTCCCACATCGGGCTCCTTGCTCAGCAGGGAACCTGCTTCTCCCTCTCTCTCCCTCTGCTTGTGCTCTCTCCATCAAATAAATAAAATCTTAAAAAAAAAAAAAAGAATATGTAGGAGGAAAGTGAGAGACACGGTTTTGTAGGGAAGATGGAGAAGGACATTAGAGCAGGCAGGAGGACGTGAATGAGCTTGGGGGTGACAGCCCTGTGAGGGAGGACAGAAGGGGCATCCACTGCTCCTTCCTTGTCTGGCACAGGGACCCTCAATCCCTATGAACTGAACTTTAGCTTCCTGCTGCTCTCCTCCCCCCCTGCCCCTGCCACCCAAACAGAAGTGTCCCTGTGACATGGTCAGGGGCCCAGGACCCAGCCCTGAGGCTGGAGAGAGCCCTCCTTTTCCTCAGGCCTTGGCTGCAGGAGCCCAGAACCGCAACACGTGCTCAAGGAACCCCACTCTCTAGGATGAGAATCAGACCAGGTGCTGCCGCCCGTCTCACCTCTTCGTCCTCCTCCTCCTCGCTGGGGGAATGGCAGAGTGTCAACCGGCAGTGAGTAACCTGAACATGGGCTCTCCATTCCAGGAGCAACAGAGACTATCCGGGAAGACCCACTCCGAGCCATGTCTCTGAGGCTACCTTTCCAAGGCAGATGGAAGCTGGGGCGGAAGAACTCACTGGGGGGTTCCTCGCAGCTCCCCAAGCAGGACTATGAGGCCCTGAGGGAAAGGTGCCTGATGGAAGGCCGCCTCTTTGAAGATGACAGCTTCCCAGCCAGCCTGAGCTCCGTGGGCAGCGGGCCCCTGCTGCGGAAGCTGCCGCCTGGCCTGCAGTGGAGGAGGCCTCCGGTAAGCGAGGAGGGTGCTTCCCCACAACACACACACACACACACACACACACAGGTCAACCCAGACCTTCCTTTGGGGTGCTCCAGATGCCAGGTCTTACTCACTGCCATTGATCCCCACGTGAGGGGAATGTGTGAGTGCCCACATTCCTATTCTCCAGATGGAGAAAACCAGTGGTGGCTCTGAGGTGGTCTCCTTCAGCCCCTACCCAGAAATATGCTGGGCAGCCACAGCCAAAGTCCTGTTGGGCCTCATCCAAGATGGCAGGGCATCCTGAGCCGCTGCCGATGCCATCGGCCAGGGAGACACTTCTCACATACCTTCACTCCCAACCCCCAAATCAGGCCCACAAAACACATAAATTTAGAAGCTATTGGGCGCCTGGGTGGCTCAGTCGTTAAGCGTCTGCCTTCGGCTCAGGTCATGATCCCAGGGTCCTGGGATCGAGCCCCACATCGGGCTCCCTGCTCGGCGGGAGGCCTGCTTCTCCCTCTCTCGCTCCTCCTGCTTGTGTTCCCTCTCTCGCTGTCTCTCTCTGTCAAATAAATAAATAAAATCTTTAAAAAAAAAAAGCTATTAATTACTTTATAACAATGTTCTTCACTTTCTAAAGTGCTTTGACAATTCCTTTTTTTTTTTTCTAAAGATTTTATTTATTTATTTGAGACAGAGAGAATGAGAGACAGAGAGCATGAGAGGGAGGAGGGTCAGAGGGAGAAGCAGGCTCCCTGCCGAGCAGGGAGCCCGATGCGGGACTCGATCCCGGGACTCCAGGATCATGACCTGAGCCGAAGGCAGTCGCTTAACCAACTGAGCCACCCAGGCGCCTGACAATTCCTTTAAAAGGCAACTTAATGTTTTCAAAGGCAATCCAGCCCCCACCAAACTTGATTTACACAATAGATTTCCCAAATATGGCTGGTGAACAAAGTGGAGTCAGCCTGTGCTACAGATTCTCTGCCCTTCTAGGCCCTGTTCAGCCTGCCCATCAAAGCGTATGGCCCCAGACTAAGTCCCTTCTGTGTGCAAAATTCTCAAGAGGGCCTCCCAAACTAGATAGTAGTCAAGATTCTACTTTTCTCAGAAAATTCGGGAACTGCTGACATAGAGTCCGTCACACACCTGACCTTGGGTGAGCTGTGCCAATGCAGAACATGAGGGCTTTAGTGCTCACCATGGGGCAGAGACCACCTGCCCCATCTCCCACTGCATCTCAGTGTGGAAGGGCAAAGAGGCCATTATGTTGGGGGATGGGGTGGGAAGGAGCAGTAGGAGGAGAACAAGGACAATGGGAAGATCTCTAGGAAAAATATGAACACCCTCTAAAAGACATACTTCCATTTTAACAGAAACTCCAAGCAAAGGCATTTTGGTACAAGTGCTATTTCTCAGTATCCACACAGAGTTCTCCCGGACTCTGGCTTACATGGGCTGCAAGAAGAAATGAGAAATGCGACAGGCTGAATCCATATGCCAGCTTGTCTGGGACAGCCCTGATTTCACATATATTCTATATCTATGTCCCCGTAAGTCCAGTCTTGGGGCATGGGAAACTACGGTCACTGTAGCTCAAGGAGCTTCTTCTTGGTCAAAAGGGCAATTCCATCTGTCCCCCATAGGAGCTACACAGCAATCCCCAGTTCTATTCTGCCAATGCCAAAAGACTGGACCTGTGCCAGGGAGTGGTAGGTAAGTCTGTACAGCCCCTGGACACACAGGCCTGGCAGCTGCTAAGGCTGAGCGGGGTGGGGAAGAGGGGAACTGAGAGATTCCCAATGGGGGAAATGGCCACCCTGAACTCCACCTTGTAGTCTGTGTCCTTTGCCGGGAAAATGGTAACAACTGGTCCTCTGAGGATGTATGGGAATGCCAAAACTTGCCCAAGGATAATCCTCATTACCAGTTTACAGGTCTAAGTTTTGTCTTGGGGGAATGTGCTCACTGTGCTCTAGACCCCATAATGAGTCCTTTTGGGCACACCAGTCACTAGATGCCCCAGCTAGAGTCTAAGCATGCCTGTCCTCATCCCAACTTCCTTTTTAGGGGAATAGAAAAAACCCTTGGCCACAAAGGGGAGGCACAAATGTAGAGACACTTGTTCCATAGACAGGGATCATGGAGCCCAGAAGCGTTGAGGCTTCCCCAGAAGAGCATAGATCAGTTACTTTCTAAAGTGCTTTGACAATTCCTTTAAAAGGCAATCCAGCCCCCGCCAAACTTGAAGGCAGGACTTTAAGAAAAGTTTGGTTGTGTTTGGGTCCAAGTTCCTGAGGATGTGGCATTCAGGAAGCTAAAATCTGGTCCAGGAATATGGCTTAATTCTTGGTGTCAAGTTGAGATCCCAGCCAATGCTCCTCCCCTCCTTCTGCTCACTCACTGTCTTCCTCCTCAGTTTTTCTTTCCCTTCTGCTAAACGGGGCTACAAGCCCAGAGAGGAAAGCAGCTGGGACTAGGCATTTCTTGCATGTAATGTCTTCAATAGATTCACGCAGACACTTGCAGAACGTAGGAAGTACACCCATGCAGACGCTATGCGCTCTCTGGCTTAGGTGATTGCTGGTTCTTGGCCGCTTTGCAAGCCCTGACTTTGCACCAGGACATCCTGAGCCGTGTCGTTCCCCTGAATCAGAATTTCACTGAGAAGTATGCCGGCATTTTCCAGTTCTGGGTGAGTAACCTCCTGGTGCCCCAGCCTGGAGGAAGCCATAGGAAAGAGGGTTCTTGGAAGAGTCATATTTTTGCCTCCTGGGCTGACCATCTTCCACGGCAATCTTCTCTCACCGGTGGGCACTTTCTCCTTCCAGTTCTGGCACTTTGGGAAGTGGGTGCCTGTGGTGATAGATGACCGACTCCCTGTGAATGCAGCTGGCCAGCTGGTGTTTGTCTCTTCCACCGACAAACACTTGTTCTGGGGAGCTCTTCTGGAAAAGGCCTATGCTAAGTAAGACAATCACCAGAAATATTTTCCCTCCTCTCCCCTTCCCCTCCCTTCCCCTCCCCTTCCCCTCCCTTCTCCTCCCCTCCCCTCCCCTTTCCCTTCCCTTCTCCTTCCCCTTTCCCTTCCCTTCCCTTTCCTTCCCTTCCCCTTCCTTTCCCTTCCCCTTCCCTTCCCTTCCTTCCCCTTCCCCTTCCCTTCCCTTCCCTTCCCTCCCCTCCCCTCCCCTCCCCTCCCCTCCCCTCCCCTTCCCCTTCCATTCCCTCCCCCGTCTCTGTCTTTCTGTCTCACTCCCATCAATGCTGGGAGAGCACAAGAGGAGGCAGGTAAATTTTATGAAGTGAAACGCTGAGGCATGGCTCAGTGAATATAGAAGTGATGTATTCAGAGACTCTTATGTAGAGTTTACCCCATCTGAACGAGCATTTGGGAATTTTGCCTTTCCCTAATGGATGGAGTTGTTTAACAAGGATAGGAACTCAGCGTATACGCTTTCTCCTTTGCCCCTGGGATGGAAGGAAGGAGTAGCGGGCACATGCCCAGGGAAGAACCAAGCAGGGGGGTCACTAGACTCATTTGGACCATCCCAGGCTCCAGGATAAATGGCTTCTACTCCAGGATAAATTCCCTTCTACTCCCATGCGTACTCCTTCCCTGGGCAGGCTCTCTGGCTCCTACGAAGACTTGCAGCATGGACAGGTGTCTGAAGCACTCGTGGACTTCACTGGAGGGGTGACGATGACCATCAAACCTGCAGAAGCCCCCGGCAACCTCTGGGACATCCTAACCCGAGCCACCTACAGCAGAACCCTCATTGGCTGCCAGACCCACTCAGGGGTGCGACTGGGCTCTGTACCAGCAGTGTGTCCTCCCTGCTCCCGTCCCCTTCCTCCACCAGCTTCTGCTCTCACCTCGGGGCGGGCCCCCAGACCCCCCTCTAGATCCTGCTCCTAGAGTCCTGCTGCTCAAACCCGAGCAGCCAAGCTGAGCCCTGGGGGCCGGCGAGGCCACAGTCGAATGCAGATGGTGTGCAGACAAGCGAGCTAACAGTGACTAAGTGTCAACCAGGTGCAAGGTGCTTTACTAGCACAACTTGTCTTTACTGCCTAATTTAGTAACAACCAAGAACGTGGGACTAGAGTAGGGAGCCCTGGGCTCAGCCCTGCCTCTGCGAGCGACCACCACGTCATCCCATGTGATGGTTTAGCAGCTCCGAATCTGAGTTTGTCCTCTGTCCAATGGGACGGGAATCCCTGCAGAACGGCATCCTGACTTAGAGGCTCCAATGAGACTGTGGATGCTGAAGAGCTTTGACAACTGTGAGGGCATAGCTGGGTCTCTCCCAGCCCTTCCCATAAGCCCTTGCTCCAGCCACGCAGGTCCCCGTGCCCCCCCCCCCCCCCCCCCCCGCCGCCCTCAATAAGCTGTATACAGCAGTGGGCTGACAGGAGCTCTCTTGTCTCCACAGAAGGAAAGGGTGCTGGAGAATGGGCTGGTGGGCGGCCATGCCTATACCCTCACAGGAATCAGGAAGGTGGGTGGAACCAGCCCCTCTGTTTCCTGTTGGGCTCCTCCTTCTCTCTCAGGGCTTCTCCCAAGGCTTGGGTGAACACTACTTGCTGGGCCCAGTCTAGGGGGCAAATTCTTTGCCGGGTTTTATAGGTCCTGCCAAAGCAGGTGGTGGGTTCCTGCACCAGTACACCTGTGTTCTGGAGTGATGTGGTGGGTCCAGCCTAGCCTGGGCCACCTGCAGGGCACCATCCCAGCCCCTCCTGCCCTGGGGCAGCCCTGCCAATCAGCCACCCAGCCTGCTGGGCCTCACCGCCCTTCCTCGAGGCCCCCTTTGCTCGGGGCTGCCACTGCCCATGGCCTTCACATCTGGGGCTTCCTGCCCAAATTCCCACTTCTTTCTCACACACTCCTTTCCATCAGCCTCCCGGGTTCTTTCCATGGCTCTTCATCTTTTGAGCTGTGCTAAGCATTGAAGGAAAGATGAATCAGACAGGGACCCTGCCTACACAGAGTTCACAGTCAGGGATGGAGAACCATAGGTAAGAATGGTAAGGAAGCAAGGTAGAAAGCGGAGAGAAGAAAAAATAGATGAAAGGCTTTAGGGGCTCAGAGGTAGGAGAGAACACATTTGCCTGATTGGGTTGGGGAAAGTCAGGAAAGGCTTTGTAGAGGAGGTGGCATTGAGCTGGCCCTGGAAATGTCAGTAGATGTGTCTGAGGGAAAGGGGCACTCCTGGTGGACGGGGCTGCACGGAGAAGCATGGGTCCATCTTACAGAGCCTCCGATGTCCTCTAGACAGGCTGATGTGCCCAAGTCCTCCAATTCCCTTTTACTCTTTCAGATTTCTTGACCTCAGCTCCCACCTGACTTCCTCCTCCTCCTCCCAGATCTACATCAGTCATGTTTGTGTGTGTGTCAAGAGCTTTTCATGAATTCTCATATTTCTTTAACAAAACTTAGATTTTATTAATAGAGTCACATGTTTATGTCCATATTTGTTGTATATTTATTTAACATAATTAGCACTTACTGTGTGCTAAGTCTTGTTCCAACTTCTTCACAAATGTTAACTCAATCCTCAACACACCCCTGTGAGGGGGCGTATTAGCGTCCTGTCGTAACAAATTACCACAAACTGCAGGGCTTCAGACAACGGGAATTTATTCTTTCACAGTTCCAGAGGCCAGAAATCTGAAATCAAGCTGTCATGACGGTCTCTGCAGGTTCTGGGGGGGATCCTTCACTGCCTCTTCCAGCTTATGGCGGCTCCCAGCATTCCTTAGCTAGGGATGGAGAGCTCCAATCTCTTCCTCCATCTCCGCATGGCCTTCGCCCTCCCTTCCTTTCCCTTCTCTTATCACTGGGTTTAGGACCCACCCTAATCCAGGGTGATTTCTTTTCTTTTTAAGATTTTATTTATTTATTTGAGAGAGAGGAGAGAGTGAGCCAGAGAGCTCAAGCAGCCGGGTCAGGGTGGGGGTGGGGGGTTGCGGCAGAGGGAGAGTGAGAAGCAGGCTCCCTGCTGAGCAGGGAGCTCGACCATGGGGCTCGATCCCAGGACCTGAGCCAAAGGCAGACGCTGAACCGACTGAACCACCCAGGCACCCCTTCAGGGTGATTTCATCTCAAGTTCCTTAATTTTATTATACCTGCAAAGACCCTTTTAATAAGTAGGATCACACTGGGGCACCTGGGTGGCACAGTTGGTTAAACATCTGACTCTTGGTTTCAGCTCAGGCCGTGATCTCAGGGTCGTGGGATCGAGCCCCGTGTCGAGCTCTATACTCAGCTGGGAGTCTGCTTGGGTCTCTCTCTCCCTCTCCCTCTGCCCCTCCCCGCTGTGCTCTCTTTCTCTCTCTCTCTCTCACTGAAATAAATAAATCAATCTTTAAAAATAAATAAATAAATAGAGAATCACATTGACAGATTTTGGGTAGATCTATCTTTGGGGGGCCACCCTTCAACCTGTTACAGCAGATGTAGCTATTAACTTCACTTTCCAGATGAGGAAACAGACCCAGAGAAGGGAAGTAAGTTGTGCTAGGTCTCAGCAGCTCTAAGAGGCAGAACCACTTTCTCTTCTCCCCACGCTCAGGGCCTTTGGTCTTCCACTTCAAGGTCTCATCTGGCAGGCACGGATCTCACCCAGATGGCTGCAACATTTGCATCTGGCACTCAGCCCAGCCACCTAAATTGCTTCTCGTTTTGCGCAGGTGACCTGCAAACATGGACCAGAATATCTAGTCAAGCTGCGGAACCCCTGGGGCAAAGTGGAATGGAAAGGAGACTGGAGTGACAGGTGAATGCCCGGAACGGGCTGGCAGGGGTGAGGACGGGACAGGGCAAGCCTGTGAAGGAGGCTGCTGTCTGCACACAAATTCAAAAGTGTTCTTTGGTCTCCAGCTGGATCGGGAGAGTGTTCTGGTTGTGAAGGTCAATTGCTCACATTTATGTGATGCTTAATGACATATAGACGGTTTTCTCATTCATTATAATAATTGAGCTAATGTTTATTGAGAGCTTGCCAGCACTGTGCTAAGCATTTTGAATTTATTTTTCCTGCCCTTATTTATTTAAAAGTAAAAATTACCTTGACTTCAAATGTGCAGAGACCTTCCTTAGGAGCAGTCTGGCATATTTCCTTCAAGCACTTCGAATATTTATTATCTCTAATCCTCTGAACAGTGCTCTTACTAGGTAGGGAGTTTTATCTCCATTTTACTGATGAAGAAACTGATACTTAGTAAGCAAATTACTTAAAGGTCTTTGGAGTCGAATCCAGTGTTCTTTCCCGGGCATGGTTCAGTGTGCTCTTGGGCCCATTGAGTCAGAGGTAGACAGATCCAGATTGGCCCCGACCTTCTGGTTCCATGTCGTGACCTCTGGGAACTCTGCTGAGATCAGAATACGATTCCCTGGGTCACCTTCCAGGGATTTAGTTTCGGGCAGGAGTCTGGGCGACGTGAGGGCTCACCTCGTTTGCTCCTCCCAAAGGCGCCCGGGTCATAACCCTGAGCTGCCTGCTGTCTAGCATCTGAAAACAATTGTTTTTTATATTTTTAGTTGTTTATGGTGGAGAAGTAATGCAGGAAAGCCTTACTCCCTCGTGGTCCGACATAGAAGTTCAAAATGACAGGCTTGAAAATACATAGTACCGACGTAGGTTCAGATGCACTCGGACATTTCATAACTTTGTGACTTCAGGACAGTGACTTAGTCTCTTTTAACCTCTGTTTCCCAATCTCTAAAATGGCAACAAAAATCTCTGCTTTGCAAAATTGTTGTTAGCCTTAGGTGAGATCAAGTATGTGAGGGGCCTGGCCCAGAGCTTGGCGCCCAGTGAGGGATGAGTTACTGTCACATGTTGTTTTTTGGAGATGGAATGTGAGATTTAGTTGTTTGCAAAGCAGCATGAAGAGGAGAGAAATAATGACACTCTCGAGCATTTACCCCATATCCTCTACAATCCTTCATTCCCCACGGAAACACCCCCTTTTCTGTTTTCAGCTCAAGTATGTGGGAGCTACTGAGCCCCAAGGAGAAGATTCTACTGCTGAGAAAAAGTGATGATGGAGAATTCTGGTATCTGACCTGGGGACTCGGGAAAAATGCCCTGGCTTACATTTGGACAACCAGCCTGCAAATATTTACTGGGAGCCACACATATGCCAGGCACCTCGTGTGCAGAGATCGTGAAACCCTGATAGGGGCCCACAGCCCCTGCAAACAGTCATGGTCCCTATGATGAGTGCGGTGATTGCTGGCAGAGCGTGGGGGTGGCCGCCTCCTTCTCCCTGACTTCCTCCCGGTCTCTTGTATCACTCAAAACACTCAAACCCAAGGTTTTGTCTTTCCTGGCCTGAAAGGGAGATGAGGAAAGAAGCCATAACTATAAACTATAAGCCACCTCAGAGCAACATGGCATGACTCCCACCCACCCCAAAGCCACTCACCCCTTTTATGAAAAGCCACCAAGACGCCTTGAGCTGATGCTGTTTCTGGGTGTCTCAGGCGAGCCCCATCTGCTCCCCTTTCCCTTCGCTTTTGGTCCTTACTATTAACCTCCACCCTTGTTCCCATGGGCCACTCTTCCCCCATTCTGTACTCTTTCTAGACTGCTGTGACCCCTCTCTCTTTGGAAGTGGGGTCCGGCACTGAACTCAACAGCCTGAAACTACTATTAATTTCCACTTTACAGATAAGTAAACTGAGCATCAGCCAGTGCAGATAGCATGCCTTGGGTCGCAAAGTGAGCAGGGGCTAAGACTTTTATCAATGAATAGTTGAGAACTGACTTGTGCAATTATTCTTGAACATTTATATCTCAATTGGCTAGCTAGGAATGCCTCAGTTCAGCTTTATCATCGCAATCAGCAAAGCAAGAACATTTTCCCCAGGCACGCTTTGCAGGAAGCTGCTTCCAGTGACGGGCTGGGGGTGGGGTGGGGTTTCTCGATGGCCCACCTCCCCTGATGCCTCCTCACACTCATCTAGCCAGCCCCACTCTCCCGTGTCCCAGGCCAGCTCAGCGGGACAGAAGGGCGAGGTCATGGGGCTGGGGCTGGTGGGGCTAGTGGGGCTGCTTGATTCCAGCCCCCACTTTAGTCCTGATGAGTAGACATTGTGCTGTGCCCCCTTCCTCTCCACAGGATGACACTGAGGGACTTTAAAACACATTTCATGCTTCTGGTCATTTGTAAACTGATCCCCGGCCTGCTGAATCAGGAGGTGGGCCGGAGGTGGGCATGCACCATGCAAGAGGGGAAGTGGGAGAAGGGGAGCACGGCTGGTGGCCGGATGAAGTCGCCCCGAGGTAAGCACGTGCACAGGAACTGGGGCTCTTGGGGCTAGAGTAGCAGCTTTGCCAGCAAGGGTGGGGATGCGGGCACCCTGTGGGTGGTGGTGGGGCCTGCGCCCTGCACGGGGCATCTGGCTGAGTGTGAGGGATTTTGCTGGTTGAGCCGTGTGCTCTGGCCCTGGGCCGTGTCCTCCTCAGCCCCAAGAAGCCACAGGCACACATGCATGGTAGAAGTGGGGGTTCAGTCTTTGGTTTTAGGACAAGGCCATTTCTATGCTGAAATAACCACCCCTTAAAGGCAGGCTTGAAATAGTCATTTTATCCTATGTATCAGGCCCTCCTTGCCTGGAGGTCGGTGGTGAAACAAAATCAAGGATTCTCAGCTCACCACTTACAGGAGACAAATGTGTCTGAATTCTCAAAATGGAGAGATTTGGTCACTGTGTCCCTTTCTCCGCAATGGAGGTGCTGAGCCATCTCTCTGGAAGGAAAGACCTGTAGGATATGATCTCAGTGGGCCAGGTGCCCTTGGCTCTGGCTTCCCCCTCTCACCACAGAGGTTCCCCCAGAGGCTGAAGCTTGGTCCCTGTTAAAATGCAAACCTCCCTGGGATCATGGACCTGTTCTCCTCGGTTAGTTAATACAGTTCCTTACTCAGGCAGTCAGTGCTTATGGGGCACAAAGTCTGTGCCAGGAACCATGCTGCACAAAGGGGCTACAGTGATGAGAAGAGCTTTCAGTCTATGTGTCTGTAGGACACGGGGTGGAAGGGGTGGGATTGGAGGGGGGAGAGAGGGGAGGCTGAGAACCTCACTCTGTCCAGATGGACCTTGGGGTGGGAATCTCAGGGCAGGTGCCCTGCGTCTGTGGGAGTGTAAAGTTAAGGACCTGGGGGCCTGGCTCACCTCACTTTGCTCTGCTCCAGACACATTCTGGAAGAACCCACAGTTTCTGCTGTGTGTCTGGAGCCCTCAGGAGGGCAGGAGTTTCCCGATGCCCTGCAGCGTGCTGGTGTCCCTGCTCCAGAAGCCCAGGCACAGGCACCGCAACCGGAAGCCTCACCTCGCCATCGGCTTCTACCTCTTTAGGGTGAGTGGGCCTCCAGGGCCTGCGGCCTCGTGGGGCATCTCCCACCACTGGGCATCCTTCCTCCCTGTTTCCAGTCCTCTTCACCATCTGTCTCTGTCTACACGCAGATTTGGGTGCAGACCTTGGCTCTGTCCCTTGGGAATATGTGATCTAGAACACATCACCTGCTGGCCCTTGAGCATCAGCTTCCTCATCTGTAGAGTGGGGACACTGATATTTATGCAAAGGGTAGACCAGAAGGCCACCGCATGCCAGTGCTCCTCATAGGGCCCGGCACGCAGTTCATACAATCAAGACCGCTGTTCTTTTCCTCTCCCAAAAAGTCAAGATTGCCTTCCATCATCCTTTTCCAGAATTCCTGATGATGAGTTAAAATGTCACTGACTAGAACAGCAAGTCTTATGGGAGAGACGGGGGCCCTTGGGGGAGCCTTCTTACATATCAGCCTCCGTTCGTTTGTGCTTATGGAAGAGTTGCATTCCCTGCCTAATGAGGCCTCTCTTTTTTCTTCTTTTCAGTTGAGCAAGGTGAGTGCCACACTTGACCAGCTGGCCCTGGTTTGGAGTGATGTCACATGTGAGGTTCAGCTTGACTGTAGCAGCCTTACGTGAGGAATCGTGAGCATGTCCGGCAACAGTGCCGAAGGGATGGGCACTTGCCGTTCTTTTTACCCAAGGACCCTGAGAAATCCTTCTGCCTCTTTGGGGGGTCTCTGAGCCTGGTGTAGAACCAATACATGTTAGAATTTATTAAATCCCTGTGTGAATACCTAGCACTGATATTGAGGACCATCCTGGCGTCCAAAGAACGGTAAATCACAGTCTTAGAGCCTGAGTTATGAAGCCCATAGTAAAACAGATCTGTAACATATGGGACATGAGGAGACCATGCAGCCCCCCTCCTTAGGGACAAGGGACAAAGGCTTGGGAAAATGGGACAGAAACACAGGCAGGGGACAGGAGCAAGTGTGGCTCTCATGTGCAGTGGGAGCCTAGAAGAGCAGCTGAGAAGGCTGGAGGGACCCCAACCTCTGCGAGCGTGGAGGCTATTATTTTGTTTGCCAAAGTAAACAGAAGTGGAAAACTGAATTTTCTCAAATTAGACTGAATCGAGTAAAAGGGTTTTTGTAAAAGAAACTATTTCTGTATTAGGTGCCTTGGGTCAGTTTTGGATTTTTTTCCTCCTGTAGGAACACTGAAGGCTCCCAAAGTTTCCCATAATTTTTTTTAAGTTATTTATATCATGCATATTTCTAAATAGAATTTGGGTCAGCCTACAATAAAACTGTAAACAGAACAAAACTATAAGCCAGTTAAAAATTTAAATGGCAAGAAAAAAGTCATATATGGATAAGGTAAGCAGTTGAGTCTACAGGGAACGCTAAACCTAGGACAGCTAATATGGCTGATTATAAAATTTAGTTCTGAGATTCCCAGTAGCCAAGGCAAAAATGGCAACAGGATGAGTCTCTAGTTCTTATTGTCTGATAAAAGAAAGCATGCATCATCAGGAGATACATTTTATTTCCTTAGCCTTGAGTGGAACCTGCGAAATGTTTTTATGTAAATGGGTAATGTCTTTGTTATCTATATATAAACTGGAGTGAAGAACCAGCACATGGTCCTCTTCTCCATCTACAACCCTTGAGTGAGAGCAAAGGGGAAAGGCAGCAAGAGAGAAAGATAGGGAAATAAAGGAGGGAGAAAGGAGAGAGAGAAAGAGAGAAAATAAGAGAGGGGGGGAGAGAGAGAGAGAGAGAGAATATGAGATAAAACAAAAACACATGCCCAGGCAATGTGAGAAGTAGAGCCTGATTCAGGTCTTCTGAACTTTTGTCCAGTTCTCTTTCCCCTTCACTGAGATGATGTAGAATGTCCAGTTTATCTGTACGTAGCTGTTTTACTGTAGGTGGGGAGAGGTTTGGTGGTCCACCAGTATCTGTGACCATAGTCATGTCATAATCAACCTTGAAATTGCATCACGTACATGGAGGCAGCATCAGGGAGTGTAAAAGACATGGACTTTGGAGCTCAGCTGCCCTGCATTCCAACGCTGGCTGGGACTCTTACCAGCTAGGTGACCTTGGGCACATGACCTAACTTGTCTGAGCCTCAGACCCTTAACCGTAAAATGGAAAGTGCGGACACAGTGACATTTCTCACGTCGTTTGTATACAGCATTGTTTTTAATGTAAAGTTAAATGGATTGACATGTGGTTCATCAGCCCCACTTAGGATTCCAGCAGTGGTGCTCATTCCTGACATGTTGTGTTTTATCCTCTCCACTCCTCACCCCTTTATCCTTCCACTGGAGCAGGTTGGGTTTGGCTAATCAGAGACCACCTTCATCCTGTCTCCTGGCCAAGGACCCCAGGGCTGGCTACAAGCCCTGGGTATCATCTTAACTGGGGCTCTTCCATCCTCCACCCACAGTACTATGGTGACCAGAGGAGACTGCCTCCTGAGTTCTTCTGGAAAAATGCTCCCCTAAGTTGGCCTGAAGCATTTCTCACAGAGAAAGAAGTGAGTCGGGAGCTGCAGCTGGAGCCAGGGACATACCTCATTGTGCCCTGCACCTCTGAGGCTGGCCGGGAGTCAGAGTTTCTCCTGAGGGTCTTCTCTAGGAAGCACATCTTTCAGTAAGGACACAGGACTCCCCTGGAGGTTGGGGTCCCCTCGGGCCAGGGGAGGTATGGAGGAGGAGGTGGAAATGGCAGAGGATGGGGTCTGTGTGGCCAACACAGGAGAGGGGTAGGGAGAGCAGGGAGCTCCCTGCATGGAGAGCACCCTTCCTTTCTTCCTCCCCACTCTGCTAAGAAATGAACAGTCTGCTAGACATTCAAGAGAAAAAACTAGACTAGGCCTGGCCCCTGCCCTCCAGAAGCTCAAGGCCTGGAAAGGACAGGGACGTATGAGCAGTGATTTATGCTATACTATGTCCAGTGCAAGCATTTATCTACACAGGGTGTTAGCAGAACATCGAGGAGGAGCATCTGAGCCAACCTCCCATGGTCCTGGGGGAAGCAGGGGTGGCTCTGGGGAGGTGTTAATTTCTAGGAGCTGCATAGGGATTGTGCACATGAGGGGAGGCTGTCATCAATGAGCAGGCTCAGATCCATAAGTGTGTGCAAGTGAATCAATAGACATACATCCCAGCCCAACTTCTTCTGCTGCTTAGGATTGTTTTGACACGACAGTCCTTCAGTGCTTAGAACCCAGTTCTCTTTCTTTTTTATTTCATGGTTTGGCCCTATGCAGTCTGACTTGGCCTCGAGCCTCACTGCCTGTCCGTGCTGATAGTATATATGAGTAGGAGTCATTTGGTGTAGGTGGGGACAGTGAAAGGCATGCCCGGCGTGGAGATGAGCAACAGCCTGGGGGCATGTGGGGAGCAGTGTGTGGGGCCACGTGGCTGGACTGTCCATTCCAAGGAGAAGTGGGGGGAAAGGCGTGAGAGTGGGGCGAGCCCACATGACAAATCAGCTAAAGGACTTGGAAGATGTGTTCCCAGGGGAGGGGGAATATTGGCCAAAATGCTCTCAGGAAGTAATTCTGCCTTTTGTTTTCCCTCAGTGAAATTGGCTGCAGCATCAGTGCTGTCTTCTCTAAGGTGCGTAGGCAGGTGGCATTCCACGCGCTGGGACCGTTTCCAAAGGACGGTGGGCTTCTCCCTCGCGTTCATGTGTCGGGGGAAAAAGTCTGCAGATCCTGAGGACCCTACTCTATGGCACCCATACTCTGTTTTCTTTTGTGCCCTACGAGTCCCTAGTTCTGCTGTTTTTACACCAGGAGAACTGCCTTTCTGGTCAGGTCCTTGTCATGGAGGGCCCAGAGTGCCCGGTACATGAGTTATACATCGACTTGCTTCTGCTTCTTTCTACCTGGTGTTTCTTTTACCCATTGCACTGTTTGCTACTTCTCCAAAGCCAGTGAGAATTGGAGAAACAAAAGATGTGTGAATGCTGTGGTAGAAAACTTAAGACGGTGCTCAAGGTGCAACTTACAGATTTCTGGGGCTTGGGGGTCATGAGACATTAGTGTGTGCCTGAGCATCCGTTCATCCAGGTGAATGATGAGGTCTTTCCATGTGTCTGTTCCTCTAGGAAATAGTGGACCAAAATGAAGGGCAGGATGAATTCTTCACTAAACTCTTTGAGAAGGTAAGTTGGCCAGGGGTGGTGGCGAGCAGAGGGCAAAGTGGGGGACAAAGTGGAGCATAGAATTCCATGGAGGATGTGTTTGCAGCTCCCTGACCCTGGTACAAAGTGTGATGTAAGGCTCCTGTTCCCCAAACTGCCACTTTATATTCAAGTCCTCAGGTTTTTAGACAAGTAAGTGGAAGTGGATTGTCTCCAGAAGGCTCCTGTAAAATGCATATCTGTTCTTGAAAGTGACTTTGATTAGTTGTAGGAGAAACAGCTTTAATCTTTGATCCCTGAGAAAATGGAATATAGAGTTTAGAATCCGTGTTGGCAGTGGGTGCAGAGCATGGTAATGACAAGCCCCAGGGGCCTGGGGGAGACCAAGGAGGAAGACCCCTTGGGTGGTCACCTAGAGAAGGGATAGGGCTGGGAAGAGGGCATTAGGGAAGAGGAGGGCCTGGGGCTGCATACCTGGTCCCCTTGTGGCCTTTCCTTAAGCTGACCCAGATCAGGAGGCCAGTGGTGTGAGGTAGGGCTCTGGAGGCCACTCTGTCCCTAAGCTGCAGGACCCTAGATCCGTTGAGGAATAAGACACAAATACACTAGAAATCTGGCATCTGACAGCTTAGTGATGTCATTAAAACTACAAGGGATGAGCTCCTTGTGTTGGCAACTCTCTGGATTTAATTCACAATGTGCCTGCCCCCCAGTCTTCTCTCATATTCACCCCTGGCATTTTGCCTAATGTAGCCAGAGAGGATAGTCAGAATCTTACCTGTGTTGTTCATAAATGTTTTCCTCCATACCAGGGGTTTCCAAACAGTTTCTGTTGCAGTCCTTTTATCAAATGGAATCTCATTGAGAACCCCAATATATATAAAACAGATAAAAATGATATATTATGAATACATATCTGTTTTATAAGCTCACATTGATGATACTTACATTTCATTTATATTTTTTAAGGTTAAATTTTTTTTTTTAAGATTTTATTTATTTGAGAGAGAGTAAGCACAAGCAGGGGGAGCAGCAGAGGGAGAGGGAGAAGCCGGCTCCCTGCTGAGCAGAGAGCCTGATACGGGGCTCAATCCCAGGACCCCAGGATCACGACCTGAGCCGAAGGCAGACGATTAACCAACTGAGCCCCCCAGGTGCCCCTTTAAAGTTAAATGTTAATGTAAAGGGTTGCTTCTGATAAACTCTAAAATTAAAACTTGGAGCCTTGGCTGAAGATCGCTTATTAAGAATAAAATTCAAACCAAATTGTTTGCTGAACTCCTGAAGCATCTTGATGAAACTCAGTTTGACGAACACCATTATTAGACTGTTTCTTATGAGTCCTGTCCTTCTGGGGTTCCCTGGACTTGACACCCGGGCTCACCTACTCTGCCCAGAAGTGGCGTATGTTCCGTGCTGAGCAGGTGTGGGGGTGACTTCCCAGCTCTCTTCTCCCGCAGCCCCTCTGCATCTAATGAACCTTCGGTAATGATAATTTTCTCCTGCTACTCTGCTCCCACTTCAGTATCCAGAAATAAATGCAGTGCAGCTGCAGAAGATCCTGAACCACATGACCTGGTCAAGTGAGTATTTCAGAGTCATCCTGTAGGACTCAAGGGGCACGGCTCTTCTAAACTCCGGGTCTACTCTCTTTCCCCTGTGGGACACATGAATTCCTACACGAGGGTCCCCTAAGCAGCGGTGTCTTACACCAGGGTGGGTCATATAGTAGTAAAGAAATTTATATAGCTTGGAAAATAGATTTTTTGTTTTTGGGGGGTTTTTTTGTTTGTTTGTTTTGTTTTTGCTTTGCTTTGCTTTGCTTTGCTTAGTTTGGGTGTGTAGAGATACATGGCTGTGAAAATAAAGATTTCTGATGTTTTGCTAGTTTGGGAAGAATATCTGAGTGTTTCTTTCTTGGCATATAAATTCCATGTGGAAGAACTGTACCCAGCCTGGCATATAAATATTGTATTTATGTATAATGTAAGTGTTGACTAGCCCTCCCAGGGAGCTTTCTAATGAACTCGTATTTAAGTTGACCAACCTTCAAAAATTTGAAGGAGGGGAGCACATCCCCTCAGAGGGCTGCAAATGGCCAGTGTGGATGCCCTCATATGAAACTTGAGATAAATTATTACGAAAGCTTAAAGTCCATGGAAAATTTTTATATGTATATTTCAAGTGGAAAGATTTCTCCAGGGAGGAGAATGAATTTCAAAACAAAGAAAGTAAACCAAACAATTAACAGGTATTTGCCACCTAACATATGTGATTGATTCTCCTTTATATGAAGCCAAGACTTCAAACCCAAACAAATTATAGTCTAGGGTGTTGTATAACTCAGGGCTTGAAATAATTTCCAGATGGTTCCTCAAAGCCAAATTCAGGTATTATAAAAGAGCCAGAAGGAGAGATTCTAGAAATTATAGAATATAAGAATCCCCCCCCACTGACACACACACCCTGGAAAATAAATTCTAGGGAAATTATCTAGAAGAGAAAGTTTGAGCACATTTATAATTTTTTAAATGTTTTGATCACAAGTATGCAAAGTGGTTTTCCAAAGAATGTGTGGACAGATTGCTTTCATTTAGTCGTATGAGAGAATTTTTGGATTGACAGATCAGAGAACTACTGTGGTTTTGGGCAAAATACTTGGTAAAGTATCTGATGGTAAATGATGACATGTGGGTTGGGAAGTAGCAATATGAGATGTATTCACAAGTCTGATTACCATTCCCAAGAGTTATATAAATGTGAAACCAGAGGGATAAATCTATGTCATAGATGAGAGTCTAAGTATAGATGAGAGTCCCTGGTTTCTACCCTTGGTCCCCTTCACTTCCTCAGGTTTTATCAATGACTTAGAAGAGGACATGGGAGGTGGGCTTATCAGATTTGCAGATGGCACAAAGCTGGAAGGAATCATTAATATAATAGATAGCCGAATTGAAATTCACAATGCTCATAAGCTGTACCCAAACCAAAAAATGAAACAGAGTCAGGATGATAATTAAAAACTGTCACTTCATTATTTTTTAAAAATTGATTGCCTAAGTTCCTGGCAGACAAGATCTCAGTTTTGTGGCAGTTTATATGAAAGATATCTGGTTAATATAGTTGACCTGGAGCTTAACACGGACTCACAGTTTCAAGTTGCTGCTAAATAAGCTCATCTAAATTCAGGCTATATTTAATGAAAATGTTTAGATTTGTATTTTTGAAACTGCATTCCAAGGAGTATTAGACACTATGAAGTTTTAGGAAATGTTCCATGAAATAAAAGGGATTAGACTCTGTGGTCAATTGTGCTCGGGGAATTCTGCATTAAACAAAAACAAAATTTCGATGCTGGCTTCTCGGTACCATTATATGCTAAGATGCATGGTGAATGGATAAAAGGGTCTATAAATACAAAATATTTCAAATATAGTTGAACTCAAAACCCCTTCTCTGCAGAACATCATCACTGGAACATAATTTGGGAAATACAGCTTGAAAATTTGGGAAGTCATAGTCCCCTTGTACTCTGCTTCATTAAACTGCAGTTCAAGGAGTGCATTCCGGTCTTGGTACCACATTTAGAGAGAAGATGGCAAAGCATAGGGTCTAGAAGAAGGCAAAGAGAGTTTAGAAGCCACATTTAGTATGGAGAGGAGACGTTGAAGAGCAGACATATGCCTGTCTATGCCTTTCTGGAGGCAGAAGTTGGACCAGGGACTGAACTTTGCAGGAGGTTCCTTTGGAAGTAACATAGATTTCTCCTGACTGGAGCTATGCATCCATGTGAAAAAGCAAACACCCATAACCGAGAGACTGTCCACCGAACATCTGAGGAAAGGATCCCCCAGTTTAGGTGGAACTCGGACAGATTGATCTCTCAGCTCTCTTTCGGATTTGGGAGTCCATGACTCAGCGCCTATGTCCTAGGTACCTGGGGCTACGTTCACCTGCCTATGGTGGAAGCAAAGCCAGGCTGTAACCGGCTCATCTCTGCAGGGCTTTATGGTGCTCTTTGGGTGTAGGAACCACCACTGAGCCTTCTCTCTGCTGCCCTCTTGTCCTTACTCCCCACTACCCCCAATAAATGATGGTCATTGGAACCTACAGGTGGCCTAGACAGCTCAGCCTCTTCCCAGCTGTGCCGTCCTAGGGCCACCCCCATGCACACTCTTTCTGTCCCTCTGCAGGTCTGGGGAGCGCCCAGCCTCTCTTCAGCCTGGACGCCTGTCAAGGGATCCTGGCCCTGCTGGATGTATCTTTTCAGGTTTGTGGCAGGAGGCATGGTGCTGCTGGTGCAGAGCCTCGCACTGGGCCGTGCTGCCTGGGTTTGAATCCCAACCCAAGCGCTTCGTAGTCGTGTGATCTCAGACAAGTCACGTAGCCTGGTTGTGCCTTCAGGCCCTCATGTGCAGCGTGGAGATGCTATTAAAAGCTACTCTGTAGTATCAGTGGGAGAATGCACAGAGCAGTGACTATTAGCTATGAATAATAAGAATCTTATTTGCCGACAGTGAGGATGAGGCGGCTGCAGGGGGTGGTGGTTAGGAGCAATCCTCTGGGTAACAAGAAGCTGTTCCAGGAGCCTCAGGCTCCCGACTTTTGCAATTGGTGACCAGGCAGTGGCTGCTCCCATTTACAGAGCAGGAAATCAGAGGTCAGTAAGCTCAGTGGCATGCCACAGACTCTGCTTTCCTGGCTCTCAGCCCTGTGATGTTTCTAGCAAACCCTCTGCCTTTCTAAGTGGACAACTTAATCACAGTTTAATTATCCACGGTACAGAGGGGCACGTAGAATGGAGAGTGTGAGGTGGGGGTTGCAAATATAAAAGCTGTCTTTGAAGAAACGTTGCAGAAGACAGCGTGCGGCAGTGGGCAGGTGTGCCGGCATCGGAGGAGGTCCCAACCTTACCACCGGCTGCATGAACTTCAACAGGAGCATCCTCTCTGAGCCCCCATTTTATCATCCATTACAGGGGGAGAGTGAATACCTACCTCACCTAGGAAGTGAAAATGAAGTGATGTAGGACAAGTGTATAACTCGGGCTCAAAGAGAGGTGTGTGTGGTGGTATGTTGACCTGGTCTCCCTGATGCAGAGGTGTTTGGACAATCATTAAGCTTTTAACTTTTTATAAAATGACTAAATATGGGCGCCTGGGTGGCTCAGTTGGTTAAGCGACTGCCTTCGGCTCAGGTCATGATCCTGGAGTCCCGGGATCGAGTCCCACATCGGGCTCCCTGCTCAGCGAGGAGTCTGCTTCTCCCTCTGACCCTCCCCCCTCTCATGTACTCTCTCTCATTCTCACTCTCTCAAATAAATAAAATCTTTAAAAAAAAAAAAGAAAGAAAGAAATACAGAACCTCGGGGTGCCTGGGTGGCTCAGTCGGTTAAGCGTCTGCCTTCAGCTCAGGTCATGATCCCGGAGTCCCAGGATCGAGTCCCGCATCAGGCTCCCTGCTCGGCAGGGAGTCTGCTTCTCCCTCTGACCCTCCTCCCTCTCATGCTCTCTGTCTCTCATTCTCTCTGTCTCAAATAAATAAATAAAATCTTTAAAAAAAATGACTAAATATGAGAGCCACCCTGTGACAGACTCCTTCCAGAAGTTGGTTTTAACAATAATGGGGAGAAAAAGTTACTGTTTTTTACTTAAATCACATCAAATTGGCTGTGTCAAAATATCCTTTCTCACTGAATGTTAGCTGTTGTTGTCACCAACATCCCCTCCATCATCAATCTTCTCCCAGTGCAGCTGTGTTTCTGGCTCCTTCTGTCCCTTCCTAGCAAGGGTGAGGGAGCCCTGGGCTGGACTGACCAGCCAGCAGAGGCCAAGCAGGGCTATCAGACGGGGAGCAGGGCTGTCCACAAATTACACTCTGTTGTGCGGAGGGCCAGTTGCTGCTCCCAGAGGTGTGAATGCAACTCCCCTAGAGGCTTTGACCTTAACCCTCTATCAGCTTAATGCATCCGGTACTGTGAGCATCCAGGAGTTCAGAGACCTGTGGAAGCAGCTGATGCTCTATCAGGTAAGAACAAATCTTAACCATACCTCCTTGCGGGGGTGGGGGGCAGAGATGGCAGTTCTGCGAAACTGTGTAAGGCACCACACCTCTTTCAGCCCCGTGTACCCCACTGTTCACCCAGCTGTTCTACCCTCCCTTCAGTGCGCCTGCCTTCCCTCTCTCCCAAACCCAGCCTGTTGCAACGGCCTCCTGGATTTCTAAAGTGCATGTCTGATGATGTCATTTCTTACTGAAAGCTTTTTAAGACTCCCCATGGTCGTCAGATAAGGTTTGAACTCTTTAGCATGGCAATTAAAGTCCTGCATCAGTTGGCTTCTTTCTATTTTTCCAGTTCTTACTCACCACTATCCATAGCCCTTGTATCCTGAGTCCAAAAGCTGGCAGCCCTTCAAGGTTTGGAGAATGTGCCTAAGTCAAGTACATTTGGCTATACCCAGGCTGTCTATCCACATGACAAAAAACCACTCCATATCTCAGAAGCCCGGACCCTCTGCCTATTCTTGTCCTGGCAGCAGGCCCTGCTGGCGGGGTCTCACGCTGGCAAGGGTCCACTGCTGCATGGACGCTGGGGCACGGAGGGGCTCTCAGGTGGTGCTTGGACACGCCTGGTTCCTGAGCCTTTGGTGTGGGTTCTTCACAGGAGGTTTTCCACAAGCACAACAGTAACCAGTCGGGATACCTGAACAGGACTCAGCTGCGGGCCGCCATGAGGGACGCAGGTAGGCACAGGCTGAACAGGGGCTGCCAGCCGCACCCTCGCCAGGCTGGGAGGGCAGGGGGTGCATCACTTCTGAAGTAATTCTAATGTGTGGAGTTGCTCCCAGAGGCCCGAAGATGTAGATCTGCAAATCACAGAAACATTTATTATCACTCTCACTGTGGTCACAGCCAACATTATTGAGGGCTGGAGCATCCATGCTCTCGTTTAATCACCCACGCCGAGTGATAATCCCCACTTTACAGAGAAGTTACAGCTCAGAGAAGTTAGGTAACTTGTCTGGAGCCTGAATCCAGGACTACCAGGCCCCAAAGTGGATGTTCTTGACCACTCTTGAGCAGACTGCCTCCTGCCTTGAAGGTCAGGATCCCAGTCGATAAAAAGATCCTCATGCTGGTGGCCTAAGGGGCAAGAATGGGGAGTCGAGATGGAGATAAAGTTAATGGACTAAATAATTAAACAACCCATACTGAACCCCATAAAAGAAGACCCCTGTGTTATCAGGATTCAGGTCCTGCAAGGGGAGAGAGCTGAAGGGGCCTCAGGTGGCGGGGAGGGGGCATGAGGTCCCCAGCACCCACGGCCGGAGTCTGTGTTCCATGCAGGAGTCATGCTCAGTGATGAGGTCTGCCTGCTGATGCTTATCCGGTACGGCGGCCCCAACCTCCAGATAGACTTCGTCAGCTTCGTCCACTTGATGCTGCGCGTGGAGAACATGGAGGGTGAGCTGGTGGGAAGGACGCAGGGCCAGAGGTCCCTCCGCACTCCTTGTGGATTGCCCACCTGTCCCCAGTCAAGCAGGAGGGAGGACAGCAGCCGGCCAGGAGTTATGGGGCATGCTGGCTCTGTGCCTGAGAAACCCGGCTGCATCGCTCCAAGCTCATGTACACCCTGCCTGTCCCAGGGGCAAAGGCCTGAGGCAGCTCGCTTACCCTTGTAAAGTGTGGCCACCTGGGGCTGAAACCAGGTTCCCAGGCGCGGGGACGGAGGGGAGGAACTGGTCGTAATGTTTCCAGCACACGTTAGCTGTGTTCCTTTCTGCTGCATTTTTACAGATGCCTTCCAGAACTTAACCCAAGATGGCAAAGGGATATACCTCCAGAAGCCAGAGGTAAGCCTTTGTCCATGGGGTGGACTCACATCATCTTAGGCAGAGGGGGCCACGGCAGGTCCAGGCTCTTGTGAAGGAGCAGGGTTCTGGGGCCTTCATTCTACTGAGTTGGGGATGTAGACCTGCATTCACTGCACTCATCCGTTCATTCGTCCACTCTTTACTGAGCACTCAGTCTGTGCTGGGTGCATAGGCAGGGACCTAGACCCTGACTCAGGGGACCCAATCACTGTGACCACAATAATGCCATGGAACAAATCCACCCAACTTCAGCTGTGACAACAATACTCACTGAGTTCCCCAGTTACATGTTTGGGAGTGAGTGTGTCTCCGCTGGCTGGCTTGTGATTGGTGGGTGAACTGGGAGCTTTGCTGGAGTACCTTCATTGAGGAAGCTCTGGCTAGGCTGGTCTCATTGTCTCCGGGCAATGGCAGAAGTACAAGGGAGCGAGCTTACACATGCAGGGCCTCCCAGATCAGGCACTTCGTACTCTGCCACTCATTCTGTTGTCTGAAGCAAGTCGCATGGCCAAGCCCACTTCCGACACTTGGGGAAATAGGCACCTCGAAGTCACTTGCAGAGGGCATGGACACAGATTGGGTGAAGACCCAGGCCAGCAATGAACTCCAGCACAGACAGTAATAGGGGACCTGGTCTGAATAGGGCATTTCACAGAGGCATTTCTGGAGGAGGTGACATCAAAGTTGAAACCTTGATGATCAGAAGGAGCCAAGGAGGCAGAGTGGAGAGTAGGAAAGGCTCAGGCTAGAGGGAACAGTGTGTGCGGTCCTGGCTAGAGTAGAGAGAATGACAAAACTGGCTCAAGGTGAGTGAAAAGATCAGGGTCAGATCTTTCTCAGGAGCTGGCCTAGCCTTTCCCCTATGGCCTGGGATTCTGATCTTGTGTGGGTAGCCTCTTCTTGAACCTCATATAGTGGTTCACATGTAATAGGAGCTTGACAAATGTTTGTTGAGTGAATGAGATGATATGCTGATAAGACAAATCTGTGCCTGACACTGATGGTCTTCCCCGATGATTCAAACCCCGGGAATTTACTGAGCACCTACTATATGTCAGATGTGGCACTAGGTAGAGTTTGCTGCAAAGACGTTGGAGTCTGGAATTAAATTGTCTGTTCTTTCTTCGTAAAAATACATCCTCTGTTTGGGCTGCTTAAAAAGGGTCTAGTAAAAGCTGAGGTTTCTTCACTGACCTCAAATGTCCATTTTATGTAATATCTTTCCAAGATATTGGGATCCTCAGTATGTGTCTTGCCTCAATCACAGTCATATTTGAATGTGAAGACAGGATTCACCTGGAGGGAAAAAGGTTAGAATCTTCTGAGCCCATTTCCATCTCAAATCCCCAAGCTCACGTGCTGATTCCAAGCAGTCCCTCCATAGTGCAGTCTCAGAGCTGGGAGAGCAGGACAACATGAACGTGCAGTTGAAACAGGGCAGCCCACAGCCCGAGCAGGCTGCAGCACTGCAGTGTGCCATCATGGGACGAGAACTGGACTGAGACCCGAGTTGAATCCGCAGCACTGCTTGTAACTAGCTGTGGGACCCTAGGCGACTCAACTTCAATATATCTGGGCCTCAGCTTCCCCACATGTGAAATGAGTGAGCTGGTTCTCTAAGATCCTCTTCAGCTCTGACCATCTCTGGCTCCATGAGAAGGAGATCCTCAGGGCCATCCAAGGAAGTTTGTAGGGAGTGGCAGCCAACTTGTTGGAATTTCACGCTGGTTTTCTCTGATGCCATTGGTAACTCCATCATTGTCATCTTCATCACCAACATCAGCAGCAGCAACATTCTGATGTAATTGGCCTGAGGAGTGGTTTCTCCAGAGGTCCCCTCTATTCGAGTCAGAGGGTCTGTTCATCACACCCACATAAAGCTGTCAGACAAATGGGCCCATAAATGTAAACACGTAGAATATGCTCTAATGGATTTCTGCTACCCAGTTGGTCCACACACCTGCACACTGATGTCATGAGAATGCCAAATTGAATTCATGGCAGAAAATTGCATTGATTGTTGAATACAGAATCAGCCAGTATCTTGGGTATCATCATTCACCGGCACCATGAGAAGTCAAGGTTGATTATATTTCAGGTTGATTTATACTTACTACCAGATGGTGTGGTCCCTCTGGCTAAACCATCCATTACTGTCCTGTCTCCATGGCTTCCCAGGAACGAGGGGGAGGAGGTCCCAAGTCCTGTGTCAGGCTCCAGGGTCTAGTGACCAAAAAATGAATCACCCCTTAGCTGGATGTCAGAGGTCTGCCTGAACTGACCGTAATTTGCTTCCCCATTATGTCCAGTGGCTGATGATGACTCTGTACTCCTGAGAAGGCTGGGGCCCTGTCTGCCTTCACCGAGGATGCTGCATATGGCTCAAAGGTAGCCTTCGGCTGAGACCAATCCACACTCAACCCATTTACCGTTCTACAGGACCATGTCTCCAGTCATCATCATCTCAGCTGGGAAGTTTTCTTTTCTGCAGATCTCCCCTTCAGATAGGCAGTGTGCAAAAAGGGACAGGAATTAGCAGAGACTGCCTTGGACTTGTAAAGACCAACTGTCATTCTCAGGGCACAACCTTTTCACAAGCAGAGATGTTACCTGATGTGACCTAAGCAATCTGACTCCAGAATTGGTGTCTTAACCTTTAACAATACTGCCTCCATGGCTGTCCAACTTAAATGACCTTAGTCAAATGTTATCCCATTTGGGGTAAGAGTCTAGGTTTTAAGATCTGAAGAGGGACTAGTATGTCCTTAAACAACTGCATCAGCTTCTAGAAATTGGTGGATTCAGGCTAAATTTCAACTGTGTGGAGGTGGGGTGGGGCTATATTGAGCTTTCAAGAACACAGAAAATGAGAGGATTGGCAGAGTCCAGGTGGGTTGGGCTGGCTCTGGCATTTGAGGTCACTGGATGGTCTTCTGCTACAGTATCTCCAGATGGTTGAATTTGGGGCCGGAACCAGTGGATTTAAAACACTTGAATTCTCCAAGAGCTTCCTGCATATAATAGGTGCCAATCTGTTTACTTGACCTATGGACTATCAGATCCATTTCAAATCAGTCCCCAAAGCCTCTGTGTGCCAACTTTAAAGAAGAACAACCAATCCATGCTATATCATAGAGCTAAGCAGTAGATGGTTGGTATCTCTGATTTTTTGAACTACCATGCTGCCTCAGTTTCACAGCATCCCTCTCAACCCAGAGCCTGGAGGAAAACCAGGGTGAAGACCATCTCCCAAAGTCCATACATTTTATTCACAGGTTAGCAACTCAGAGCCATTTGTTAAAATTCTATTTATTCTTGATTTCCAAACTGTTCTAATAGACATGACTGTCTGGTTTCCAAACCCATAAAAGACTAAAGGAGGAAGCTGAATGATGGGATAAAAGGGTGTCCATTGGCAGAACAAAAGGAAATTTGACAGTCCGATAAATGGGCACTGAAGAAGGAACAAACATTTTCTAAGCATGGCTTAAGGAAGTAGAAAAGTATTTACTTAGAAAAAACTTTATTGATTCCAAATAATGAAATGTAAAATGGTTTTCCATAAAGTTCCAGGCACATAAGGTATTACTGTTTTTATAAATGATGATTATCTGTTATAGGCAAGATTTTTATGTCTATTTATTTGTCAGTATCTCTGTTTTTAGATTCTGCCATTGTAAATATTTGTTTTAATTAAATAGCTATTGCTTTGGTCCCACGAAGGCAATTTGGAAGATTTTTGGGGGTGGGAAGGTGATTCCATCATCTGGTTCATGACACTTGGACTACAGTGTAATAGTTTTGGTTGGTGCCGATGACATTTATATCGAGGTTAATTAAGTCTGATAGAACCTCCCTTCTAGCTTCTCAATCGTCTGAACTGCCCTCCTATGTCACTCATGTGTTACCCTCACTCGCCTGAGTCTATCACTGTGGTAACTCAGATGCCCCACGCCATGCTGACCTCCTCCTCCATTCCTTCCAATGCCCCCCAATGCTGAGTCCTGGAGACCAGGGGCAGAGCTGTTTTCCCACCCAAATATCCCTTCCCCATCCTCTGTCACTCCAGGCAGTGTGAGGCAAGTAAAGATCTGGGACAGGATGGACCGCACAAGGGCCAGAGTGAGGTCAGGCTGAAGGTCTGAGAGGTGGACATCTGCATTTCCTGGAAGTTAAAAGCCAAAAGTTGGATCCTGACCGAGACAAGCAGAAAGTGTGCAAACCCAGTGAAGGATTAGCAAGGAATCGGTCCTCAGGTGCCAAAATAGGTGAGGTCAGGGAGTCCGGGAGGTTGGGTTGTCCACCCATCCAGCGTAAGCACGCTGAGCATGCCAGGCTGAGCACACCACGCTGAGCACTGGCGCAGGCTTTTAAAATCTCAGGAAAAAAAGAAAAAAGACCCTAACTGGTGAAAAGAAAAGGACGGTTGCAAGAGAGGACTAAAATACCTGCCCTTTCTTTACCCCTCTTTTTTCTCTTTTCCTTCTCTCATGTTTTGTACAAAAACTCAGCCACCAAAGGAACCTTCTAGATTCCAGCTGGAGCCTGGGGCAGGGCAGTCAGCAGCTGACTGTAAATAGCACTTCTTCCCTGCCACCGTCACGCTGGGTTAGAGAAATGATTTTAGCCTCTGGGATTCTCAATCTGATGTTTCCCCAATGAAATATCTGCATTTATATTTATAATGGGAAAAAAGGAGGAAATGAGTTTCATGGGTCATGGGTAGGTCAAAGTGGGCCAGCTGTGCTGGGCTTAGTTTTGGAGCAGGCTGTGTGCCCGGTTCTCAGGGAGCTTTGGAAAGATGGCCATCTGGGGTTGCTGGCCCCAGGTCCTGAGTCCCATCTCTTTTCCAGTGCCCTGAGGACCCAGGGGTACAAAATCCAACAGCAACGAAAGTGAGGAGACATTGGGAAGGAACATTCTAGCTGGATGACATTGGGCCTCAGTTTACTCACTTGTAAAATGGAGCCCAAAACGTCTACATCACTGGGTCATTATGACAATAAATAATGCCAGCATACTGTAGGCACTCAATAAATAAAGCGTGTCCTTTTTCCCTTAGGCAGTGAAAGTATTTTTTACAACCATCATAATTTATTTTCATTTTTGTTTCTAAGAACATCGTCCCTCATAGTGACTGCTCTTCGTAAGTACCCAGGATTTCATGGTCCATTTCTACTTTCCTCTTCCTCCACGTCCCATCTCTGAACATTTCACACCACGTCTTTGAGGTGTGGCCCCAGGAGGACTGCCCCAGTCTCCGGTGTCAGGGACTCAGCTCCGGGGACCTCTGAGAAAGTGGCCGTCTGGCTATGAAAGGTCCTCTTCTGTCAGCGGCTCTGCACTCTGCTCACCTGGGGCCTCGGGAGCAAAGGGGGTTTGTGCACCAGAGTCCAGGCTGCTAGCTGGCGGTTTCCTGGACCACCGACTGGGCGACTTCTGGGAGTGTCTTCTGTGAGACTGCAGGCTGGCCGGCACTGACTCCAGAAGCTCCGCTGGGCAATTCAGTTGCGATCTAGAGCTGACCTTGCCGTGAGAAGGTGTGGCACGGCCCCTGGCTTGTGGACTTCTGTCCTCTGTCCCGATGGGCTTGCGGGCTAACCCGGCTGGTCAGCAGGTGGGGAGGCCCGCCGGGCAGTGAGCTTTCCTCTCATCCCTCTGTCCATCCAGCCACGCAGCCAAACATTCAGCGCTCTGCGGGAGGACACCTGGCCGCCTTCTGCAGTGGGTCAGGCACTGTGCTAGGCCCTGGGGACCAGAGTGACAGTTTTCCGGGGCAACAGATGACTGGCAGGTGGCCTAGCACTGTGACACGGTGGGGGTGAGGTGGGGCAGGGCTTCTTGGGAGATGATGCTTAGTAAAGAGGCTAGGAACTAGAAACTAAGGGGAGGGGCGCCTGGGTGGCTCAGATGGTTGGGCGTCTGCCTTCTGCTCAGGTCATGATCCCAGGGTCCTGGGATCGAGTCCCACATCGGGCTCCCGGCTCAGCGGGGAGCCTGCTTCTCCCTCTGACCCTCTCCCCTCTCATGCTGTTTCTCTCTTGCTCGCTCTCTAAAAAATAAATAAATAAAATCTTAAAAAAAAAAAAAAAAAGAAACTAAGGGGAGAACAGCAAAGTTCCCCACGGAGGGTATTGCACGGGTGTGTGTGTGTGTGTGTGTGCGTGCGTGTGTGTGTAAAAGACCGGAGTTAGGGATGGAACGGTATGTTTGGAAAGCATCCAGTGGGTCAGGGCAGCAGAGCTTAGCTCTGTTCAAGGGGGCGGCGTGGGCCCAGGTGGCCCAGGTAGGCGGTGGCCAGGGCCCTCTGAGCTCCGTCACGTCACGGCATCCGGGTCCTCTCCTGGGGGGCCGAGGCACCCCCCCCCCAAGGACTTCAGACCTGGGCCTGAGACGTTCAGACCCTTCCTCCCCACCAGCAAAGCCAGGAAGTCAGCGGCGTGTAGACAACGACCTGGGAGTCAGACGGAAGAACCGAGTTCAAATCCCTGCCCTAGTTCACCCTTCTGAATCTCCACAGCATCGCTGATAAAATGGCGAGAGCAACACTCACTTCACAAGGTGAGTCTCGTAAGATAACATACCAGCATTTCTGGCGTTTCTGGCTTTCGGCCTTGCCTGTGTGAAGTGTGAACTCCACCGGATTTCCCCGCCAGCGGTGGGCGCCTTTATTCCCGCATTTGTGGCATGTGCTGAGGCTGTTCCAGCACTAGATGGCGCTCTGTCCCCACACAAGGGCTCCCGACAACCGACTGGCCGGGGGACAGCTTCAGCCCTTAGCCGGGGCAACTGGGTGCTTTAGTGACCTGCCCGCCTGACTCAGCTCAAAAGGCCAGCGTCAGCCCCATGCAGGCTCGCTTTCCTTTCTTGCTTCTTTGTTTCTGCTTGGTGTTTAATGGATGCTCTGTACTTTGTATTATAAACACTGTCCTGTAAGTAATGTATAGCTTTTTTGTTTCTGAAAAAAGCAAAACTGTGTTTTTAAGCCCTTATTGTAAATGCATCTCCTTGAGATACAACCATGCCCAGGCCACTCACCCATGAGCCCCAGGACCTAGCTTAGTACCTAGCTTAATGCTGAGCTCATGTTTGGGGTTCACTGAATGAATGAACAATTTTTGAAGTAATTCAGGTGAATCCTGTCAGGAAAAAGTCAGTGCGTATTCGAGATGCTAACCGAAGATGTTAGCATATAAGGGTTGCTTAAAGAAACAACGATTTGCCTCTGAAAGGGTCCTTTTGATGTGGCTCAAGCTAGCTTACTCTGCTGCCCTGCACCGTGCCCTGATCCCAGGGGCAGTTCAAACCACCGTTCAAAAGCTCATCAGACTCTCCCTGAAGACATTCTTCTTATTTTGACATTCCGGGGACTTGGACATCATTTTCTCTTACATATTCAGAATTCATCCTCCTAGAAGCATTAACCATCTGGGTCAAGTTCCAGAGCCTTTTACTCTCCGTCAAGCTGTGTGAGCAGTAGGAGGTAGCTGGTCCTGGGCCAGACCCAGACTGAGGTGAGGCCAGGTGGGTAAGTCCTCATCTCCATCCTCAGCTTGCTCAGCCTCTCCTGCTTGCAAAAGCAAAAGAGGCCAGAAGTGGTGTAGCCCAATGCAGGAAGGGTGGGTGGTGGAAGGCTCAGGCCTCACCTTGTCAGGGAGTCTGGCTGTATTTTATTCCCCTGACCAGCTGTCCATGGGGCTGTAGATGAGTTCCCTAACTTCTCAGTTCAACTATTTTAGGAAGTTACATATGCAGTTGGAGGAGATTGGATTGTATAACTTCTAAATCTGCCTCTGGCTGGACATAACAGATTTGCAAGGGCACAGGCTGGTCTTAAAAAAAGATGCCTACTTGAGTCCAACTCTACTATTTCCTGGCCTAAGTTACCTTCACAAGTCACCAAGTGTTCATATCTACAGTCCAGAGGATGCCCTGTGGATTGCATGAGATCACACACTTGAGCTGCTCGGCACAGAGCCGGGCCTCCCCTGTGCCCTCTCTACTAGGGGAGAAGCTAAATGGTTTCTGAACCAGGGCAAAGCAGAGGCCGCAAGGCTCTGAAGCCTGAGACCCAAGCTTCCATTCTGCTTGGAAAACATTTCTTGGAAAGCTTTCAGACAAAAGATCCAGCTCCCAGATTCATTTTCGTTTTGGCTGAATGAGAGGATCGAAATGATGGTTGTCTTTGTTCTGACTTCCCATTGGCCTCACATCAAGTATCCCCCAAGAGGAAGCCTCAGCAAGCTTGACATTGCACTCACATAGCTCTCAGACCAATTTGTTCACCAGTAGGAACAGTGGGAGGCGATCCTGCCGAGAACACCCAGCACATAGAAGCTCAGGCCTAGCGGCCTGGCCGGGCGTGGGCCCCCAGGTTGCCCCCTCTGACCTTTCACCCTTGGGCCCGCACACACTAGGGGAAGTGGGCCCGGTTCAGGCCGCTCGGCAAGGCTGGCCTGTGTGCTAAGTCCCACTCCCACTGCGTGCGGTTGGGGGTTCCTTGGGTGCAGCTCAGATGGTTAACTCACCAAGAGCATTCTTCTCCTGGTCTTTGGCTTTCTTGAGAAGGGAGAAAGCAGAGATTTTTGGAGTGCCCTTGGCCTGGGCTTTAATGTGGAGAGGACCGTGGTGTTCTTGGGGTGTGGACACCCCTCTCCTCAAACTGCCGCCCTCTCTGCATGAGTGGAGGAACTTCTGGAAGGAGTGGGCTG